GGGGTGGGGGGGGGGATTTAAAAACCTCTTTTTACATGTTGTCTTTAGTTAAGCCCGATATTTGTTTGAATTGAAGTAATAGAACAAATCAAATCATTAACTTATTTTGTTACATAAAAAAAATTCCTAACAATGGTGGGTTATCTCTGTTTTCAGCATGTTTTCTCCAAAAAAGAAAAACAATAGAAAATGAAATCTTTGTCTGTATACAGATGAATAAAACGAATGCACAGCTTATTAATTTGATGAATTGGTTTTATTTTGGGGGGCAAATTTAGTGGTTCACATAACTAAAATACCCTAGATAACTTGCTGCAATACAGATGATCTGCAGTCCATTCCTTGAGTCATTTATTTTTTCTAAGGGGATTTTTTTTTGGTAATGAAGTGCACTCCACTCCAACCCTTTTGAGCCACAATATTGAATTATCTCGAATTAAAATCATATCAACTTTGCAATACTTTCTAATAAAATCGAGAAGTCCCGAAAAAAAAAATTTGATAAAAAATAAATAGGAGGTCAGTATGGACTATGGAGGAGAGAATTTTATACTTTATAAAATAAAGAAAATAAATTCGGGAAAAAAAAATCAAAATGTGTAAAGATATGTTTAGGAATAAACTGAATCAAATATTCATATTTAACTACAATAACAAACAATATCTATTTGAAAAGAAAATATAGTAAGTGAATAATACTTGTATGTTCATTCTTGCATTTTCTTATTAATCGAAAATTTATCCACCGAAATTCTCAGAGCTTGCTTCTTTGTTTAAAAAAAAGTTTTTTTCCCAGCTGGGAGAGGGACACGTGTCAAGCGATGGGTCGGAGGAGTTAATGTATAAGAAATGATTCTGTTGACTTTTTTGACAAATGCTGAGCTGTCCTTCGAGGCGCCGAGCAGCCGCGTCCTCGCAAGAAGGTTCCATTGCTTTTCTTTCCTTTTTATTTATTCTCTCTCTTTCTTTTTCTTTTTTTCCACATCCGTCTCTTTATTTTTTAAATATATTTATTACAACAGTCGAATTTATTCTGCGTAAATTAATCATATAAGAATTTTGGATTTCTTTCTATATATATATATATATATTTAAGTTCGATGAAACGATGAATATAGTCATTGAATAATTCATGATCAAGCATAACCTAGACGTAGTGATCTCCGATTTTAGGTCAATCCATAAATTTTCTAATTTTAGAATACTAAAAAAATAATTTTATATGCATAATTAATATCCCAAAATTAAATTTTTTTTATCTATACCGAAATTCATCCAAAAATATGTATAAAATCAATCAAACCAATTCGTTTCGAATTGAATTCGATTAGAATCAAATCAATTCATTTTAATTCTAATTCGATTTGGATCAAATCTTTTTATTTTTTCGGATTGAATTGATCTGATCGAGTCGTTTCGATCCGAATTCAATATTCTTATAAATTCTTATTTTTAAAAGATACTTTTTTAATTTTTTTGTTATTTTTATATTTGGTTCGAATTCGATTGTCATTTTAAAATAAATTTTGTATATTCGATTTCATATCGAATTTGAACATATGTTATTTTAGTTCAAATTAATTTAATTTTGATTTTGTAATATAAATATATTTATTTTATTTATAAGTAATTTTTTAATATTTTATTTAATTAAAACTGATCAATAATAAAAGAATATAATATTTAATAGGTTATTTGAATCAATTGGGTTAATCAAATAACTCAGAACAAAAATCCAAATGTAATAATAATTGGTTTGAGTTGAATTAATCCATCTAACTCAACCCAATTTAAAATCTATGGAAGAATTGGTTTTTTTGTGTCTTTGCAGAAAAGTGATTAACCGAGTTTTGCCAAAGAGAAATCGAGAAGAGAATGAATGAAGAAGTTGCAGAAACAGATGAGTTTCCTCTAATCTTCGAAATAGAATACCCAACTTAATATCTGTGGGCATTTTGGCTCTACCGAAACCTTCTGAATTTCCTCTAATCTGACCTTGGTTTATCTTTAACCAAGTGCTAACCGAAAGCCTCTGTTTGCAACAGAGTTTCCTTCTCATTTTGCCACCTTCAACAAAATAACATTTTATATATACCAATCATTAAAATGGTGGTTCCATAATAAAAATAAATCTAAAATATGATTTTATATGGATCATGTCATTACTGGGCTGCGTTTAGGCCGATCACAATGTAGTTCAAATGGGCTTATATCGATAGTTGGGCCCGCTAAAAGCCTCTAATTGGATCGGAGGTTTAGGCAGAAGAGAAGAAAAAAAAACAGAACGAAGGGAATAATGAAATCGCAAAACGGATCTTTTTCATCGTCCACTGCTCAGAGACGGAAGATCTGAGCTCGAATGATCCTGGAGTAGAATTTCTCTTAGATCGTTTGATCTGAAGAACTAGACAATGGGAATCGTGTTCACGAGGTTGTTCTCCAATCTGTTCGGCAACAAAGAAGCTCGCATCCTCGTCCTCGGTCTCGATAATGCCGGAAAAACCACCATCCTCTGTAAACCCCTCGTCCTCTGTCTCGCGCGCTTTCTCTCCTTCTAGATGCACCTTTTGACTGATTCAACATTTCAATGACTAGAGTTTTCGATTCCATGATTTTTGTTCTGAGCTCGGCTGTTATGTCTTCCGCGTTCACAGATCGGCTTCAGATGGGGGAGGTGGTATCCACGATTCCGAGTATGTGCTTTTCTCTTTTTGTATATTTGCGGATCATTTATTTTAATTCTGCGTTGGATCTTTGATTTGGTGTGTTATCGGGTACGAGATTTGGTTTCACATTTTACAATTTTGCTGTCTGGATATGCAGCAATTGGATTTAACGTCGAGACTGTGCAGTACAACAATATCAAGTTTCAGGTCTGGGATTTGGGTAAGTTTCGGTAAATGTGTTTCAACTGCGAATTTGATCGATCCGAACAGTTGTTCTTCATTGGGAAGGGAATTCGAGATTTACGCTGTATAGTCGTGAGAAATTTTAGATTAAAGCCTGTTTCAATGGATTCAATCTGTGGCTCTTCTGGTTCATTATTTTTTCTTTCATGTTGACTAGTCGACTTCGGGAGCAACTAGGGATTGAAACCAATTTTAGTATATCTAAATGCAATGACACATTTGATTTGAGATGATAGAATGTTGCTCTTCATGTATATAGTGATTCAATGTCGAGATCGAGATTTTATTTGATTTGCATTATCCAAAATCCATCTGTTATATTGATGAAGGATTTTGATATAACATGTTGAATCTCGAACAGTTGTGTTCCATGATTCCATGCTACTATTACTTCTGCATAATCTTGAAAAGACTGAGATATGACTCCTGAAATTCGAAAATCGGATGATAAATGGGTTTCTAGTTGACGTAAAAAGGCTATGACTGATTTTAAGTATTAAGTACCACAATTTGTAGCTATTTTGATTGTTTGGGGATAAAACACATGTATGATCTGTGCGTGAACATTGTGCTTTAAAGAGCTGTATGTACCGTTTTTTTACGTTTGGGTATTCCAATATTTTAGCTCACAAACTAACTACTACAATTTTTCTTGTGGCAGGTGGTCAGACTAGCATCAGGTAGCTAACGAGTTTTCCAAATTTTTTTCTTTCCAAGGAACAATTGAAGGATCTCTGACTTGGCCCTTTGTTTTTGGTGATTGTGACAGGCCATACTGGCGATGCTATTTCCCAAATACACAAGCAGTGATCTATGTTGTTGATTCGAGTGATAGAGATCGAATCGGAGTGGCGAAAGAGGAGTTCCATGCAATTTTGGAGGTAAAGTGCTGCTGAATATACTTATATAATTGTATTATGACTTTGCTGGTAAAGGACTTTTCATATCCAAGTTCTAGAATGATTGAGGGCTCTCTATGGGCATTAAAATATCAGTTCAATTTTAATCTCAACTTGAAAATGTAAGAATTCTGCCATTCAGATTTTGTGAAACTGAATTTTTAGCTAGTGCCATGGGCAAAAGGAGGGTGTAATTCGATTGTGAAAGCAGGGGCTTTGCTTGCTCTTTTATCTGGACAACTACATGATAAGTTAGCTTGTCATTATCTGCTGTTCTGTAACGTAGTCCCTCTGTCTGTGTTTAAGTCTGTCTAATCAATTTCACGACCATCTTATAGGAGGAGGAATTGAAAGGTGCAGTGGTTCTCATATTTGCAAACAAACAGGTTAGTGTTCGATTAACCTCTGCAGTTTTTCTTACTGGTGGGTAAAAGATCTTCAATTAATTTATCCGATAAATATTTGGGTCGGTTTTAGTTCCTTGAAAAAAATTCTATTACCGATGTGTCTTGAGGGTCATCATCACATGGAATGAACAGGATCTTCCAGGGGCACTGGATGATGCCGCAGTGACCGAGGCCTTGGAGTTGCATAAGATTAAGAGTCGTCAATGGGCCATCTTCAAAACTTGTGCTGTCAAAGGTGAAGGTCTTTTCGAGGGCTTAGACTGGTGAGCCAAAAATACTCCTCTTCTGATATCCTGAATTCATCTTTTTATGTTTCGTTTCATGTTCGTTTTTTCCGAATATTTTCCTCCTCTTTCGTATGGTATCATGAGTGTTGGGATTCAATTACGATATTCAGGTTGAGTAATATCTTGAAGTCGGGAAGCGGATAAAGTTTCTCTTCAGACAGATCTCAGACTCCCAGGCAAGGCAGCAACAATGTATCTTTCTCTCCGTTTTTCCTATCGTTTCCTTTGTGTCGTTGAAAGAAGTTCTCAAATCAGTCAATGAGATATTCTCCTCTTATGTTTTGTTTTTTTGAAAGGATTAGTTAGACAACGGATTCGTGACCCCTAAATATAGTATTTTTTTTAACACTGAACATAAAAACCAACCAAAAGAAGAGAAAAGACCTCTTAATGTTTTTTACTCGTGTTAAACCAAGTGCTTCTCTTGCTTACCTTTGTTGCAATTAGGGATCGTTGTTTCGGGATTCTACTTAGTTTATATCTATATCTAATCTATATTTAGATTGAATTAGACTTAAATGTGATTGGGTTATTGGTTTTGTATATTTACTAGTAGGGGTTCACTTTGGGTTTTTGTTCGTTTATTTCGGTGTAGAAAAACTATAACGAATCGTTTTTTATATTGAATTAGGTTTGGTTTAGTTTAAATTGGTTTTTTCGATTATTTTTTTATTCGATTCACTTTGGTTCAGCTTTGATATCTTCGGGTTTAGAGAAATCATAACTTTCAGTTTTTATGTCGGATTTGATTTGGTTACGGTTGTCTTATTTGATTTGGATAGGTTCGATTATTAGGTTATTAACCAAATTGATCATTCCGAATAGGTTTTTTATATCTATTATTAATTAAATTCGAGGGGCCTGATCAGGAATGATGCAGAGTTTGGTGTGCAGTGATATGCTTTGAATCGTTATTGATGGAAAAAATTATGATTAGTTCAATCTTACATTAACATAAGCGAACATTTATCCCATAAAGAGATTGAGGGAGGCGATCGATCATGTAAGGTGGTGTTTTAGCGATGACAATATCTCGCGATTGATATCACACACTGCTTGTAGCCAACAGTATTTCTTGTCGTTTTTTGCGGGATCTGAAAATGTGTCGCCAAACAAAATAAAAACTATGGTTATTATATGTGTCGATGAATCTGAACACTCGTAAGGCAGAATCGACAAAAAAAAAATAAAAAAAAAATCTCCAGAAGGATACATTATATAAATAGAACACAATTCTCTCCAAAACCTTGAGAAAACGCAAAAAAAAAAAGATAACATCTTCAAGATCCGAAGAAGATAATCCTAAGATTCAGGAAGAAGAAGAGGAAGAGGAAAGGAAATGAAGGGCAAAAACTCAATCCTGGCTGTAATCGAAAGCAACAACTTCCTCGGAGACATCGATAACTTCCTCGACCTCGACTTCTTTGGCCTCGTACTCTTCCTCCTCGTCGCTCTCTTCCCCGTCCCGAAGATTTTGCCTCTCGACCTTCTCTTCCTCGTGGAGCTTCTTCCACTCCTTCACCCATTTCTCCCACTCCTCCTTCAGCCCTCTCCTCTTCTCCCTGTCTTGCTCGCTCAACAGCAACGACACATCCTGATCCTCCGCCTCGTACTTCTTGCTGTATTTCTTCAGGTTCTTCGCTATCTCTTCTTCCTTCTCCGGTGACAGGAAGGATGGCGGCCTCGGGCGCCACGAATACTGCATTCATCAATCCGAGATATAATCGGTTAATAACCACCAAATAACTGAACCGATCCCTAACCGAAAATCCCAACCCGAACTGAATAAAAAACAACCGAAAAAATTGTTTTAAAAGTAAATATTTGTATCGATTCGAACCCAAAACAAACCGAACAAAATTCACCATAAAACCGAATGGCAATAGTTTTCCTAAAACTGAAATAAAAAAAAAAACTCGAATTTAACCAAACCAACGTAGAACGAAAACCCAAATGGCCACCCCTGGTTTTTACTAGGGGTGGGCATTCGGTTCAGTTATTCATAAATCGAATCTACCTAAAACGAATAAAATGTAAACGATAACTAAAACCAGGTAAAAAACCGAATGGTTATGATATTTTCATAACCGAAAAACAAATCCAAACAAAACCCGAATATGATATAAAAATAACTGAAAAACTGCAAAAAGTTTTTAGAGAATAAGCATTTTTATCATTAAAAACCGAAACAAATCTAACATAAAACACAACTGGATATAGAGTTTCTAAAACTGAAGAACCGAGCCCAAACCAAAAACCGAAATGCCCACCCCTACTTATCAGATTCAGCTTAACACAGAAAGCCTATAAAGATTATAGAGTTTGTTATACCTGGAAGAAATGATCCTTCAGTATCCGGTAAAGCAACTTTCCGTTGAAGGACCATATGTTAAATCCATTCTCCATCTCGTGGACCGATGTCACCGCGGTTGCAACATACCTGGAAAAAGATAAACATACCATAATCACAACATCAGATCACCAAACACTACAGATTTCTGAATCACATGTTTAAAACAATAAATCACAGACCTTCCAGTTGGGTCCCATTCGATATCGGTGGCCATGAAGTGTTCAGCTGTGGCCATAGTCTCGAGCTCATCCACGTTGTAGAATTCAAGCTGGCCATTGAAGCCTTTCAACCCAGCGAGAATAATGTATTTGCCAGTTGGTGACCAGAAGAGGGCATTAGCTTGCTTGCCCTTGAGAGTAGTGAGCTTCGAAATCTTTCCTGTGTTGGTTGCGGAGCGCATAGAATAGAAGCTGACATCCGGCCTTGGACTGTCGCCATGAATGACAGCGAATCTGTGACCCTTTGGCTCCCAGGCAAAGGCTATAATCTTATCGTTCTTGTTGTCCAGCTCAAGAACCTCGATGGGAATATCCCTTTCTTTGATGCGGAAAAGCTCGAATCCAGTGTACGTGCTCTTTTTAGTTTTTGTATACCGATCGACCTTAACGGCAAGATACTCCCCATTGCCCTGCCAGTACATTTTGCAGTCGCTAACACTGAAAAGATTCTTCTGTCTCAGCTCCTCCTTGCCAGGGATTTGGACAAGAGAGACCTGGAGATAAAGAAACCAACATACATGTAATAAACAAACATTACATCGGAGAAACAGAAAAGCAATAAGGGTTTAAGATTTGCGTAACGCCTAAAAGCAGAACTTACCCTGGCAGGTTGGTTGCCACCACCAAGTTCCGGGACAAAGAGTGCAAAGATGGGATCAGTAGGCGACCAACTGAAGTCCACAATGTTATCAACCTTCATGGATTTCTTGTCAATGAGGCTGAAAGTCTCGGTCTCATAGACAGAGATCATGCCTTTTCCGAGCTTGGCAAAGTATTTGTCTTCTTTCCCACCAGCCCATCTGGGGAAAGTTTTCCAGCACAGAAACATCAACAAATGTACATGATTGAGCTTAGAAAAAGAAACATCTGGGCGGAAAGGTATTCCGAAGTTTTAACTACCACGTTTAGCAAATACCTGAAAACAGGCCACGAGACACCGGCAACACCACCAGCTCCTCCAATAGCCAAATCATCAGCACTTCCTTTGAATTCTCTCATCAGTCTTCCAGTTCTCACGTCAAAGATTTTTATATCAACTTTCTGTAAATTGGACAAATTTCAATAATGCTTTGTATCTGAATGAAATGGATATAAAAGATGGGGAAAAAAACAGAGGCAAAGATGAACTCACATTTGCATCCCGAGGGTTGCTTGGTTCCTGGCTACTGTAGGTTACCAAGTATTTCTCACCCGGGGAGAAATCAACGAGTTTTACCTACAAAGAAATCATCAAAAGTTCAAAACACAAAATCAAACTTGAGGCCACCAAAGAAACTACAATTGCTAATTTATGCAATAATCATTAGGTAGAGCAAACCAGAGGATGCTGATAGCGCATGAGACGGTTGAAAGTTGTAGCACCACCCCAAACAGCAGCACCCTGCTTGTGAAGTGTGACCAAGTATGTACCCAGAGGAGACCATTGCACAAAACTCTCCGTCCAGTACTGAACAGGAAGAATAGAGCACCATTACGCCTCAAATTATAACAGCACAACCATATATTTCCTTTAAAGGATTCAAGTGTGCAATAGGCCAAGGGTATACCGGAAACTGGAAAACGCTAGCAACTTACAGTACGCTTATGAACAGGTTCAGGTTTCAAATGTCTAGCGTCATTCCATAAGACCTCAGTATCAGCACCAGATCGAATGACAAACTGATCCCGGGCCTTTTCATCAGTGAGCCACTTCTGCAGATTCTCCTGAGGGTGGAAACAGCAAGAAGGAATGAGAAGACACATGGGAGTAATGTGAATCAAAATCAGAATAAAAGTGAATATACATAATTCATGCAACAAAGGTGTATGAAATCAACATTACAGTTCTTATTTCATCTAACTAATTATTCATATAGCTCAAATATCAATTCATCCTATCCTCATGCAGCGGGTGAAAACAGGAAAGCAACAAATCAAACAAAACACATGAATCTACGATAAATCACACATACCCCAGGCATGTAAGGTTTGGTTTCAGGCGCAGACCACTTCTCTTCAACTTTCATCAACCTGTCAATATCATCAAACATATTCACTGCAAAAATGTGAGACCGGTCCAACTTGTAGCCATGAGTCTTATCCTTAGCATTCTTAGCTTCCTGCATAACATACAGACATCGAGAGAATTTTAGTGAAACAAGAGTAAGCTAAACAAAATATAGTACAACTCCTACATCCATACCTTAAACTAGGAAGAAGGGATGCCATTTAAAATGTTTCAAACACCTAAAGTGTTAAACCAACAAACAACTAAAAACACAACTCAAAACAGCTGATCCTAAAAAGTAAACTGTTTTGACTATGAATTGTAAGAACTTGGCACGAGGGTCATTCCCCATCTTGTGTTGGGAGTAATTGAAAGAGATTTATAAGCACTTTCAAGGAATACATAATTCATCAGAGAAGTCATATACAGACAATAACTATGCATAAAGGACAGGCACCAACCTCAGGAGTATTAAACTCAATAAAACAATAGCCCAATGTCATCTTGGTATCGGGATCAATAGGCATCCAAATTCCATCTTCCTTGATTACGCCTAGCTGATTGTATATTTTACGTACAACACCTTCCAGCTTCTCAAACTTCTCCTTCGGAACTACAGGGAGGTGATCAACCACGATGATGTTACCAAACCCAGTGTCGAATTCCAGTTGATCGTCCTTGTAAACATCCTCGTCATCACTACAATTCCGACAAAACATCACAACACATCAGCTCCATTGTTCATAACACGCGATTACTAATCAAAAGCTTTTGAACGAGAGCAAACTAAATAATGAAATATAACGTAATCAACGCATAAACACAAGTTTCTTAGCAACTTCAAATCAGAGAATATCAAAATTATTCTGCCCCTCTCCTCAAATATCAAATCTCTAGCAGCAAAATGGTGAAAAATACCAATCAACCCCGTTCCAGAACCCCAAAGAAGAGAATCGAACTGCGTCATAAGAAAAATAAATGATCCAGGAGTTCAACTGTACCTACAATTTTCCTCAGAAACCAGACAGATGATAGAAAAAACCAGATATCCGACCGAAAATCTCACCTGACAATGCCAAAGTCCTCCCCGGGAGGAAGACGGACAGAATCGAGATCGACCTGAGATAAATCGACCCCTAACCGCGCTGCCCATGCCTCTACATCAACAGCCGCCATGATTCCTGAGATCTAGCCGCAGATTCCCTCTATACACCAACAGAGAGAGGACCAGAGGAGTAAGGAATCTATGAGATGGAGACGGAGACAGACGATGGCTAGGGTTTTCACAGATGATGATAAGAGTGATGAACTTTGTATATATTTTGGACCAAAATGACAAAAGCCCAATACTATGTTAGGCCCAATCTCATGCTTATTTTATTAGTGATTCAGTGTTGATTTGTCATTTGAGAATTAAATATAAAAAGGATTTTTTTTTATAATTTACACGAAATTATTAAAAACAATATATATCAGAAATTTATCTGATTTTATTTTTACTAATGAAATAATCTTCAATAATAATAAAATGGTTAGAGTTTTATTTTTCTATTTGTTTCTTTTCCTATAGTTTTGCTCTTCAAAGAGCAGAAAATAATAACTCGAAGCATTCCTTTAGAGCTTTAAAAAATCCAATCCTATAAGAATGAGGATTACAATTTTTAATAAATGGAGAGATGAGTCCTCAATTTTTTTTCCGTAAAACTAGAATTTAATATATGAAATATGAAAATTCAAACACCCAAATTAGATACAACACATAATCCATTGCAACAAACAAGAATGTTCAAAATGGGCATTTGGGGGTTCATGCAATAATTTTTTTTTTTTTGCTCATTAGCTTAATTACAGTAAATAAAATATAAAATATTAATTCTTCTTCTCCTTAAAAAAAACCCTTTTTTCCCCTTCACGTTTCAGAATTTGTGCATTTGAATAATAATAAAAAAAAAAAGTTCTATAAGTTGACAGAAGAACAAGATCTTCTAACTTCACCGTCTTCACCAGTTCTAACACCAACCAAACTCAGCTTCACAAAAGACTCACTCCACTTGTCGAAGAAGCTCGCCTGATCGCTGGCTAAGTCTTCCACCATCTTCCTCGTACGCTGGTCTTCCAACAGGACGGAATCTGTCTGAAACAGCCCCTTGTGGGCTTGGAGATTCCTGTAGTACTGGTTGTCGAATGCAAACGCGGTTTCTGGATCGTTGCTCACCGACGCCGAGTCCGACGAGCACTTGTTCATCAGTGATTCTGCGTATGCGTTGTCCAGAGATTTGTCGATTAGCTCCAACTCGCCTTTCCGATCTCTCTTGAACCTGTCGTTGAATGCATTGCAATGTGCAGATCCGATCGTATGTGCTCCTGCCGAGGGGGGGGGGGGTTGGGGGGGGGGG